GCTTGTGTTGTGTGTTGGCTCGTCAGGAGCCAGCCTGGAGGCTGGGTGTCCTTCCTGGGTGCCACTTTTGAAGCAGCGGTTTTCTTTCAGACCTTCTGCTTGTGTCCACGAGCAGGGTGGGCAGTTGTGCAGTGTGCTCTTAGGGAGGCTGTGGGCAAGCAGAGGGACCTGTGTCCCTTTCCTGAGCAGCCAGGGATGCTGCTTCTTCCCCTTCTTGGCTTGTGTCAAACTGCTGAGAAGAGCCTGGAAGCTGAGATCCCCCCGTCTTCATCTGTAGGACTTAAGCATGCCAAATAACGTGAGTTTTGTGGTGCCTCTTGGCTCTTTAGCCACAGTTCCCTTCGTGGGCTGACCATTGCTGGTGAGATGTGGTGTCAAGCAGGAGGGCAGTGGTGGGACAGGGGCAGCACAGCCCGCTCCGTGTGGGTGAGTGAGGAGGGGGTCTTCAAAAGGGCTGGTGCCAAGCCCTGGGGTTGCAGATGGGGACTGTGGGGTGCTCTGCCTTGTGCCCACGGGGACCTCCTACCCAGGCAGTTATCTGACACTGCTTTCCTCTGGTAAGAATCCCCCCTGCTGTGTACACTGGTGGCTTTTGGCTGTCCCAGCCAGGGCAAAACTTGCATTCTTCCTACAGTGAAACAGAAAAGGGTTTAAACAGCATAAACCCAAAGTTTCCCTTTGTCAGAGGTCCTCAGTAAGGAACAGGTTTTCCTGCCTGCCAGGTCCCCTCCCAAAGGACAGCATTCACCTGTGCCCTCCCTTAGCCTGGCAAACTTCTCTTGGGGGTGGCAACCTGGCTGGTGACCATCTCATTCCTGTTCATACCCATTTTTTCCCTGTTCTCCTTGTGCCAGCTTTGTTCCTCAGCCTGAATCGCCTCTCCTGGCCCTGTGGGGTCCAGGTGGATGTGGCCTGGGCACCCTCTGTGCTCAGCCCTGTGGGCCTGGCTGAGCCCTGCTCTCTCTTGTGGAATGTGCACCTAGGAGCTGCATGTGGGCCCTGTAAGATGGACTGTCTGCTCTTTTGTCTCCCTCTGGCCTTTTTCTGCACTAATTTTCATTTAATTGACCTTTAATAACACGGGTGACCTGGACAAGCTGTGTCAGGACCTGTCTGCTGAAGCTGGTTCCCTTAGTTGATTTAGGGATGTATCAGTAGAGATAAAGCCAAGGAATAATGTTTCTTCTGCCCTCTGCTCTTGGAGTGAGGTGTCAGCACAGCCCAAGAGCTGGACCTGGCAGGGTTTGTGTTTCTGCCCAGCCAGGGCTGGGGGAACATTTCTGCTCTGTGCATCTGAGCAGATGCAGCTGCTGCCACTGAGCTGGTCTGTGAGCACAGGCACTGGCACAGCAAATCCCTTCCCCTCCACCAGCTCAGGCTGGGTCAGCTCTGCCAGCAGCACCTTCCCTCTCTGATCCCAGCCTCATACAAGCCAGTGAGTCCCCTGGGGTCAGACAGGCTGGCTGGGGCGTGTTGGGGTGTGAGTTTTGTCCCTTCATGTGCTTTGGAGGTGTTTGGAAGCAAATGAAGAGAGCACTGAGAGCAGTGTCATCTGTTCCTCACAGGAAGGAGAGGACTTCTCCCACTGCTGCTCCCAAATCCCTTCTACTAGGGGCCAATTTGCAGCACTTCTAGAAAATGCAAACGTGCCCCTTTTCCCCTGCTCTGCTCTCTCTGGTGTAGCCCATGCCACAGGAGCCACAGGAGGCACAGGCACTGTCCCAGCACCAGAAGCAGCAGCAGCAGAAATGCACAAGTCCCACGCTGGGCAGAAGCCTTGGCCCCATGTGCTACCCCAGGAGCTGAGCAGCCCCAGCCTGCCCCAGGCCAGGGCTGGGTGTAGAGCTTCCCCTCCCTCCCAAATGACCCAGCACAAAGTTTCCTTTCTCCCCCTCCTCCTCGGGGCCATTCATTGCTGGGCTGGCTCCTTGTCATGCTTGGTTAGACCAGGGCATTCTCCTTCCCTGCTGTAAGGGGCTAATGATGGAAGGGTTAGAAGGTTCCCACAGCATCAGGGATCTGGAGGTACCAGGAGGCTTTGAGCCTTGGTCTGGAAGGCTGGGGGGGCATGATGAAACTGGGGGACAGTGTTCTACAGTAAATCAGTATGAGCTGCTGTAGAGCTCTCCTGATTTCCCCCTCTTGCCTCTTGGCTTTGCTCTCTGGCCTTGCTCTCGCTTGCACTTTGTGTGTAAGTGCCCCTGAAGACCTGTTTGCACACGTGTGCTCTCAGACATGCAGCTGCACATGGACACGTGTGAGCCAGAGAGAGACTTGAAGATTATCTGAGTTTTTTTGGGTGAGAAATGAGTTCTCTGAATTGTTTCAGGATAAACAATCCCATAAGATCTCCCCACCTCAGCAAGCCTAGGCCCTTGGGTGTGGTTTTTTTGGAAAAGGGTTAGATTTTAATTTGAAAGATGCTTAAATGTCTGCAAATGATATTTACAAGTTCAACAAGGGTCCTGGACCTAGGGAGGAATAACCCCATGGACCAGTACAGGTGAGGAGAAGGACCTGGGAGTCCTGGTGGACCAGAAGTTCACAATGAACCAGCAATGGGCCCTTGTGTCCAAGGAGGCCGATGGTCTCCTGGGGTGCATTGAGAAGAGTGTGATCAGCAGGTCAGGGGAGGTTCTTCTCCCCCTCCACGCTGCCCTAGTGAGGCCACCTCTGGAGTACTGGGTCCAGTTCTGGGCTCCCTAGTTCCAGAGGGACCAGCAGCTACTGGAGAGGCTCCAGCGGGGAGGAAGTGGTGGGGGGGTCGGG